AAAAGCAAGTGCATTCTACGCGTGCATTTTTTTTTTTCTATATTTGGAATATCAGTGCTTTTACCTTGCTTATCCACTGAATCGGAATTTCAAGTTGGTAACCTGAGTGTTCTAAAGCAAATATCTGAACTTCATCACATCCGTGCACCTTTACTTGTTTCAATGATGGCAATTCATTAATATGAATTTGAGGGACGAAGCCCTTCAGTTTGGGTAGCTTAGAAAGATTTATGTGTGTCAACTCTGGAAATAGAAACCTTTCGGCAATTTCCACCAAATTAGTTGGCTGAGTGGTTATCTGATCTTGTGGAAGGCTAGCACCAAATATCTCTTCTAGTGAATCACAATTCTGTATCTCCAGTGTTTCTAGCTTCTGACGTACTCTTTCCAGCATACTGAATGGGAAAATATTCAACAGCTTTTCACATGAATCCACAGTAAGAGAATTTAGTTGGCAACAAGAAACATCATGTTTGTCGTCCCATATCTTGGACCAACTTCCCATAAACTTGATTATCACCTGCTCTAATCTAGGGAATTCCACCTAAAAATTTTATCCAATTGCATTAGTAACTATAATTCAACTAGAATCAGAGAAAGGGAACCCATAAAAAGATTATAAAAATAATAAAATTTTAGAATCTAAATTAAAATTTTAAAAGCTTTATAAGGTGAAACTAATTGTAAATAAAAGGGAAAAACACAGAGGAGATATCACCTTTTCACCAAAGAGAGATGGTGTACAAGTATTTTCCACATTTTCAGTACCAACTGTATTGTCTCCTATAAGGGTCTTCAACACAGCACACTTGCTTATGGTGAACCGTCTAAGCTTGGAGAACTTAAATTTAGAGTAATTTCCATGACACAATCTTGCAAGTTTGGGAAGGTCTTCAAGTTCTAGGGTGTCCAGTTTAGAGAAGAAAATCTCACACATCATTTCTTCTTCCACTAATTCATTTGAGCTGATTACCTGTTCCATCATCTTGCAGTCACAAATCTTGAGCACTATGAGTTGCTCAAAACTCTTAACCATAGAAGACAAGAACAGATATTTCAAATTGCCACAATCCTTCACAAAAAGCTTTTCTAAAGAGATTTTTTGAATCGAAATTTGCCAGATTTGCTGAATGTCAATTGAAGACAAGCTTAAAATCTTCAACTTGGGAAACCCAACCTGCAAAGAGATTTTTAGTTGGAATAATAAATTTTTAGATCAAATCAAAATTTTTATGAGGTTAAACTAATTGAAAACTAAAGGGAAAAAGG